GGGGGGGGGGGACTGATGTGCTGAGTCGGCACCTTTTTGAGAATGGAGCTTCATCTGGAACAGTAAAAACCAGAGAATACCACAAACAATGAGTCCACGCAGCTCAGAGAGCAGCTTTCAGAGGGGTTGAGTTTAATCAACCTGTAGATGTTTCCACGTGGCTCTTCTGTCCGCTTCAGGATGTTCTTTTTGTTGAATTAATTACATTTTATTGTGTTGCTTGTTGTCACTGAACACTGCTGAACTGAACATGTATCTGTGTTGTTACTTATGTAAATTGTACTAAAAGAGCAYAATTTTCTGTTTTGATTTTGTTCTTGTTTACATTACCTTTGTTTTAATTTTAATTCCTTTAAAATAAGATTTTATCATAAAGTTAATAAAAATCTAACTAAAACAAGGCAAAAATATTTTCACGTCTAAATATTTTTATTTTAAATAGGCGATTTTGCAGTCTAGTAATCTTGTTGCCCTCTGTTACAGTATTTTATTATTTTTTTACAATGTGTTTTTTATATGGTTCTGTGAAAAAAATCTCAAGTCGCACTTCTTTTCTGTCTTGAGATATTTTAATGTGTCTTTATCAGATGGTGTAAGTTTTTCCTTGGATTTCGGCTGCTTTTTCACTCATTTTTACTTCAGTACCTGATTGTTTTCAGAGGATAGTTCGTATATTTTACCTTAAACCTGTGATTCATTCAGAAAATCAAAAAGCTCCTAAACTSAAGCGATGAACCAGCATCGTGTCGACACAGAACAGAGAATTTACTGGAGACAGAAAAAAAAAAAAACAGTTTTACTAAAGGATGTATAAGTGCTTCTTTAGAAGTTTGTCACAAAGACACGTTTTTCCCACTTTTGACTAAATCTTTAAATAATCCATCCATCCATCATCTATACCCACTTCTTCCTTTCAGGGTCACGGTGGTCACTCCTGCCCATATCCAGCAGTCACATTGCGAGGGGCRGGGTACACCCCGGACAGGYCAGTCCATCACAGGGACACATAGAGACAAACAAMTATTCACCCTCTCACTCACACMTATAGGRACAATTTAGACCAGTTMACCTAACAGTCATGTTTTTGATCTGTGGGAGCCGGAGTACTTGGAAAACCCCCACGTATACACTGAGAGAACATGCAAACTCTACCAGAAAGTCTATAAATAATACCAAAAATAGCACTGTTTTATAGACAGAAAGTATTTTAGCACTCAATGATTCAAAAACATCTTTTCAACATTGGTTATTTGACTAGAATTGGATGATTATTTGATGGTTGATCCACCAATCATCAACCTTAACCAAAAATAAAAWTTTTTGACCATAATTCAACATTGAATTAACATCTTYTGSTATCTGGGAGCTGAACGACGCTGCATCTTTCAGGTTCTTACATGATCTTTTCCACTATTTCTTACAGACAAAACTTTCCATTACTGTTCATCTGCTGTAGACATTTTTTTTAGAGTTAGCATTTAATTGTTTTGTCCAGAGCTGTCCACTTTCATTGTTTTTAAAGTGTAGTAAGCTGTTATGGTCAGTTACGGGGACCTGGACTGAAAAYGACCCTGAAGAARTATTTATCAAGAACACTTCAGAAARGTACAAGAAAGTTTATCTCTGTRGAATAAAAAATAAAAATAGGGATGAGTTAATACTAGTAACCCCGGCTCTCAAATACAGTACAGAGGGGAATATTTAGTTTTTAGAAAAGTAAGTAGTTGGCAGTGGTGGGCACAGTATCCCTTAACCACTAATAGGGAACTAATTTCCTGATTAGTGCTTTTGCTCATTTTGAAWTTTATTAGTGGATTAGCACTTGCTAAATTTATAGGCTAAATTTAGAAGCACTACCTGAGGTCTATATCTGTTATTGATCAACATTAATGTTAACAGCTGAGGGTTAAAGCTGTCACACATTTTGTTCATATGTGTGTCACTTATCCATATGTGACATATTGACAATATATGAGCCCAAATACAGCTGTAGGATGTCAGTGATGAGGCTTAAGAGAGCAACATGGTGATATGTGACTCATGTTGAAGAATATTCATGGGTCGACTGGGATATTTTAGTGCTTTAGAATTAGGGGACCTAAATACATGTACTGTATTTGAGTAGCGCTTTAGGG